GGCCTCGGGGGCTGCGGGGGGCGGCAGCAAGGTCCCGCGGGCGCCGCATCGCCCTGGTTGAGGTGCCGCAGGGCCCCGGACCCCTCAGTAACGGGAGGCGGCGGCGGCCCGTGCCAGCCTCCAGCGCCGTGGCAGCGCAACAGAAACAAGGATTTCCTTCTCCTTGCCCTTCCCCAGGCCCTTGCCCTGGAGCGTTGCAGCGCCGCAGCGTTCGGTGTTTGGTTTGGTACACTTGAGCTGCGTGCAGCGCTCGTATTCTTTTTAATTAATGGGCAGGCATTGTGTCGGAGCCAACCGGAATGGTTATTTTTTTTTTTACCAAAACACACATTTAGGGCCCAGTTTACATCTTGAAGAACAGAGGGCTTTTTAAAAACAGATTTTAAGTGTTTTGCCACACAGTCTGAACACTTCCCTAGGACATACGCCGTCCTAGGCGTTAATCCCTGTTCTGTTTATTTCAAAACACTGTATTCAAAAATTATTAGATTTTGTAGTTAGACTGCAAAGAACCTAAATAACCACAAGGGACTCGCTTGTATGTCTATCTCATTTAATACTAGGGTAAGCGACTTCTGGAAGCACTCAAAATTTATTGCTGTATGTCTAGCTCTTTTAATGCCAAAGGCAGCAGACTTCTGGAGTGGGGATGTCCAGCCAGGTGGTTTCTTCAGCAGGGGGGTCTGCTGCCTTCTTGAAGGGAGGAAAGCAAAAAATTTTAACTTCTCCCTTCTGCCTTCTCTTTACGTGAAAAAGCAGCAGTTTCTCTCCAGTTTTACAGCTCCGGAGTTAATGCATGGTATAAAACCAAAAATCTCTTGATAAACAGAGCGTTTTACCCAGGGTATGCTTCAATATTACGGATATTTTCACATGTAGTATGTATACTGCAGAGAGGGAAAGCAAGGGAGCGCAGAAATGCAGAAAGTAATAAAGGCCTGGATATATGATGTTACAATTTTCACCCTGCTAGAGACGTAGTGGAGATAAATGGGTGTTGGCAACTATTTCCAGTTAATGTGTTTTTGCCATGCAGCTAATAGATCCTGACTGGCAGACGAGATGTTTTACAGTTCTGTAACTCTTTGTACCAGTGCTTATTCCTGATCTAGAGTCACTAAGCCTTTGGAGATGTTCAGACCTGTAGTTATCTTCCCAGGTGTTTTATTGAAAAAATGGTATCTTCTGCTACTCCTCAGGGGCAACATGGCAGTCAGGGATAGTTTTCACTTTCAGAGAACCAACTGAGTCCATAAAAGCATTCAGAAACCTAGTTAAAATTTTCTTAATCAGATAGCTTTTTCAATAAAAATGGATGCTTCCATACAGAAATGCAAGACATGCAATGGGATTGCTCGACACCTGAAAAAATGCCATCTGAAAAATCAGGAAAAAACAAGCTTTCCAGATGCCAAACCTTTACTAAACCAGTTTTACGTATTTCTGATTGTTTATGTTATATGTTATATATTTGATATTATATTCACACAGCTTGATTGCACCAGACTACAAATACAGAGCAAAGAAGGAACACTGGAAACTGACAAGAAAGGAGACTTCCTATCTCTCCCACCAACACAGCCCACGCCAGCTATGCTGTACACCTATTGTAAATGGTGATTGCATTTGGATTATTCTTGGGGTGTTTTGACAGTACTTGAAACATTGCAGATGTTTTCAGACACTGAAGGAGAAAGTTTCTTTGTCTGGAGGGGCTAGCAGTCTATCGTGCCAGTCTCTCAAGGATTTCCTTATAGATGGGATCCTGTGCCATTGTGGATCTCTGATGAAATGAATATGAAATCAAAGACAATTAAAGGGGAGTTTCTAATATAGCCTTTAGGTATTTGCTGTATAGGAACATCAGCCATCCAGAGAGGTGCAAGGGCATTATTTAAGTAGACATGATACTATTACAAATATTAAGACATTACTTGTATGTGAAGATAGAGACTGGGGTTTAGCAAACTAAATTCTTCTGTGGGCAGCAGCTGTGGCTTATGCCTTTCCAAGTCTTTAAACTGAATTGAACAAATTGGAATAAAAATATCTTCAGAGGGACTATTCTGCAATGACAGGAAATGAACTAGATAACCTAATAGGTTTTTCTCTGTTGGAAGTTCTATTTTGTGAAAAAATGAAATTGAAGTCATTGGCTAACCTGACACTTTAATTAATCAGACCATCTATTTAACAAGATTCAGCAGGTGGTGTAAAGTAGATTTCATTAGTTCCTGACACTCCAGCAGAGCTTGTAAACCTGCTGAAATGCATGTTTCTTACAACATTCTGAAAAATGCAGAAGTTTCCCTTTATTTTCTTGTTTTCTTGCTGATAGGTTAATTTTCTCCTAACATGATATATTTTATGGGTGACCAAACTAATAAAGCTGGTTTATACACCAGCTGACAGAAGTAGGAGGAAATTGTTTAAAATGCTACATGGGAAATTTGGCCATGTTCAGCCCTAAAAGCTAGAAAAATGTTTATGTAGAAATTAGCGTAAAAATGCCAACAATCTTTAACAGAATTTCTGCAAGGCCTTCTAAGGACTGCTGAGCTGGGAGACAAGACTGTATGTGGAGATAGATTGGCAGGAAATATTAAGCAGCCCTCATCCTATATAAACACTGAGTGCACATTTAATAATTAACATTTTTATGTGGGAAAGTAAGAGAATATTATTCATGACGGAACTTTTTGTTAAGGGTGTAAGATGATTTCTCTCCCCAGTTTAAAGGTAAGCATTATTAGTTAAGGCAAGACCAAGATTTAAAGGTTGGTAAATATTTGATACCATAAATTGCAACTATGCACAGTTTGTATTTTACCAGTTAAGTACTATATTTAGGCAGATCAACATTTCTAGGAAGCTTGCAGATAAATAGCTCCAGAGAGGCATGGACAAGCGACTTTTTTTCTGCCTCACATTTCTGAAAAACACTTGGCTCTTCTGGTCCTGCTAGCCCAGCTAGGGTCTGATCCTGAAGTTGTTTGTGTGCTGGAAGATGGAGGAATCCACAGAGAACACAACACAATGCTCACTTGAAATGCTCAATGAAATATATTGACCACTTGCTAAAATTCAAGATCCTGTCTACAGTCTAAAATATGAATGTAAGACACGACTGGAAGCTTAAAATATCATTATTTACTGAAATGGTGCAAAATTTAGTAAGATCTTGTCATTTAGCAATAAAAGAAGAAGTTACAATAATCTTGGGAAGTCATAGATTAAATGCAGAGGATCTGACCATCGCTGTTTCCCTCCTTATACAGCTTTGTCAATCATATGCATTATTATATTGATGAACATTATAAATGATTTCAAGAACAGTTTTTGGCTTAAGACTTAGTCCTGGCTTTGTCTGGAGTAGAGTTAAATGTTTTTCACAGTAGCTGGTATGGGGCTATGTTTTAGATTTGTGCTGAAAACAGTGTTGATAATACAGGGATGTTTTCATTATTGCTGAGCAGTGCTTACACAGTGTCAAGGCCTTTTCTGGTCCTCATCTTGTTCATGTAAATTATTCTGTGTTTTTTACATTCAGGAAGCAGACAGGCACATCGTGTGGTTTAAACAAAGTTGAGGATCATGGCAGACAACCACTGAAGTAAGCTCCCTCTGGAATGCTATGTCTGAAAGGGATAGTACTTTTATATATATATATATATATATATATATATATATAAACATGGAGTTATCAAATACAAGATGAGAACTTACACTTTTTCTGTCTTTCAAAGTAAATGCTTTTACAATACTGCATTCAGCTACAGTGTCCTCTGTCTAAGATAAATTGCATGCAGCTCAAAACACCATTGGGAGAATTATTAAAGGTTTGGAAAATTGTTTCATAGTAAGAGACTCCAAATATCAATGTATTAACTGGAAGTTTGTGGGTTTAACATAATCTCTGAATAATTTGCTTTATAAAATAACATTTTCAGCACACCATAAAATTATATGTAACAGTCACAGCCATCAATGTATAGCAATCTTGAAGCTGAAACTAGGGGGAATCAGAGTACTGTACAAAATTTTAGCAGTGAAAATAATTAACGACTGGAACAGCTTTCTAAAGGTTAATTTTTCTGAAAGATTGGATATGCTTCTTATAATAATTAAGTGAAGCCTTAGATTAGACCAGCTCTTAGCTCTTCTTTTAACTTAGAAGAGCTGAAAATAGGTGTTTACTATAATTTCTCCCACATTTATAATACATGGATGCACAGCATTTCTTCAAACGAGTCCTGCAGTTTTTCACACTGAACATAATGGAAAACTTTGCCCTTTATCCTCCAATATTTGTGTTCCACTTGAAAAAGAGAAGTTCATTACATCCTTTGAGTTCAAAAAAATTATTTTGTTAATAAATGGGGTAAGGTGAGAGGGCTGAACTGTTCCAGTTAGTGAACATTAAAATGTATCAGGGGAACGGTATGAAAGAAGAGAAATTTTCCAAAAGACAGTAGGGAATGTCAAAGAAAAGCAGGATACAGAGTTTACATTTATTGGGCCCACTTAGCTGGTTTCTCAGGAAAAGAACTAGGTGGTCTAAAATTGTCTCTGGGAATTTCCACTGTACAGAGGGTCTTCCCCATCTGTGTAAAGCTGAGACTTTCATCAGGGGGTGCCTGAGCATACTTTCAGGTTGGTAACATTCATTTTGTCTATATAAAAATGCCGAGCATGAACTAGAGTGGCAGACCTGCTGCGAGGCCTGAGCAGCTCCTGCAGAGCTCTGAAGTCAGGTGAACACACAGGTACTGTTAAAGCACCTTTGCCCAGCACCTTCATCTGGCCTTTAAGCGCTGGGGTATCATGCAAAGGATATTGTACCATAACCTTTCCTTTGAAGCATGGAAAAAAGATAAAGCTCTCAAAGCATGACAAATCAGCTGGATTAGGATCTTGGAGACATTCACCACTTTGTGGTGTAAAATG